ATACCAAGTACTTTATTTCATGAAGCACTAGAATTTCTCATGTTCCAACACATATCACAAAGAAGTAATTGCTTACTATAATGTTAAAGAGAATGAAGATTTGATCATTAGATACTAAAGAAAATCTGCCACTTAATCACCAACTTTTATATGCAGATGAGATGTAGAAAGTATTCAGAAAAAGAAAGAGAGTATTTCAAATATAACTTTACACATGTTATCTTCTCAGGTCTAAGAGATGGATGAGAACTGGTGTTCCATGGAATTTCAGTTGTGCTATCATCTAAACCTACAAAGGACATTATCATAGCAGCTAATAAGAGCTGTATTTAAAATAATTATTATAAAATAAAATAATGTCCTCCTAAATCCTAAACCACTAGTTCTTAAAGTATACCAGAACAGTCTTATTTAATGAATAAATAAATAGCTCAACAAACAAATCAATGAGAAATCTAAATTTGTTATCTCCACTACACACCTGCTATGTCTAAAATTCTGTGCTAGGACAGCAGGGTAGATTTGAGACACTTACTGCATGAATATTTCCAAAAATGAAAACAGAGTCTTTAAGCCTTGATATGCTAAATCTCATGAGGGAGTGTCTCATTGTTAAGAAAGAGTAAAAAACACTACACCATGCTTTAATGCCTACTGCTGTTGTTGTAATGCCCTCTGAAATATATCCACATACACAAAACAACACACTTTAGCATAAAATCCATGGTTTTAGTTAAGTTCAAAAAACTGTACAACAATCATAAAATTGACTTGCGAACATTTTATCAATATGAGATTACCTTCAATAAATCTCTGACTCCCGATCCTAAAGTATTAAGCATGCATGAATGTATTTCCTAGCTCTGTAAATTCGACAGTTTGGGGCATTTAATTTTAATCGAGTTGTGCCTGGATCCCCCCACTTAGACGACTATATCAAGGTTCATTAAGTTTGTAACATACCAGTGCCTCACTCCTTTCTGTAACTGAATAATACTGCTATGGATGTTCATGTGTACAGGTTCTCTCATTTCTCTTGTGCTTGTGATCTAGGAGTAGAAATAGGGTAACTGGTAACTCTGAGGAAGGGTCAAGTGGTTTTCGAAAGTTTTTCCACCATTGGCATTCCTGTCAGCAGTGTGTCTGAGTTGTGATTTCTCCACAATCTACCAACTCTTGTCCTCAACAGAACTTAGTGAGTGACATGGTATCTCACTGTGGCTCAGACTTCTCTGATGGCGAGCATCTTTTAATTGACATGTGCATGTTAGGCATGTGCATATTTTCCACAAAAAAAAAAATGTCTATTCAGATGCTCTGTCTATTTTTAAACATGGATCCCTTCTTGCTTTTATTATTCAACTGTAAGAGTCTGTCATAGGCATATGTGCATCTGAGGTAGTTTGAATGAAATGGCCCCTTTTGTTCTTATTTTGAATCCTTGGTCCTAGTTGGTAGAAATGCTTGTGAAGGATGCCTTTATTGGAGGAGACCTGTCACGTGGAGTTAGCTTTCGTGCTTGCACTCCCCCCTCCCCCTACCCCCACCCTACCCCCCCACCCCCACCCCCACCCTACCCCCCACACCCCCACCCTACCCCCCACACCCCCACCCTACCCCCCACACCCCC